TTGCGATCATGGTTTCCGCAGAGTGCCTGACATTTTGCCGCGTGCGCAAGGGACTGCGTTGTCTGTGTGTGTGTTTGTGGACCCATGGCGATGCGGTTCCGAGGCGGGGAACGAGCGAGGGAAGGGAGCCCTGACTCTGGATCTGCCGTACTCTGGTGGATGTCCCGATTTGACAGTGCGTCGGGAATGTATCATCGTAAACGATGCGAAGGTGTAGGGCGGACGTTTCAGCCTCAGATAAGTGGGGTGGATATGTTCGTAAAGGGTGTCGCGGAAGCAGCGACGGCAATGTAGAGCGGACATCTACGTCACAAAATATTGAAGAGTAGGGCGGATATTTCCGCCCTACTTACGACATCGCCCAGAAACTACGGCGGAACTGAAGTCAGGGTATGCTCACCATCGGTCCTCGGATCCCTCCCGGGGTCCATCTTGGCCAGTTCTGAGGGCGTCCAGCCGTGGTGGCGAGAGCCTCCAGAACTGGCCCAAGTCCTTCGACACGAAGCCGTCGTCGTCCTCGTCCTCGTCCTCGTCCTCGTCCTCGTCGTCGTCGTCGTCGTCGTCGTCGTCGTCGTCGTCGTCGTCGTCGTCAGGGAGGTCGGCTGGCAGCGGACCATCGGCCCAGAAAGCCTACGTCACCAGTCGGGTTGGGACAGTTTGGGACCATTCTGGCGTCGCCCTCGGCCTCCCCCTCCTTGCCCTGCTGCGCCTGCGCCTGCGCCTGCGTCAGCACCTTCGCCCGCGGGCCTGACTCCTCCCCCCCCCCCCCCTCTGGGGTTACGACAGCTAGCGCACGCACGTCGGGGGGGAGGGGGGGGGGGAGGGGGCTGGATCCCCCCTACATGCTGGTGCTTGCGCACAAAAACTATGGCGATCGCAACGCGCCCCCGCCCCGACGTGCCCCACCCCGCCCAAGCGTTGCCATTGCCCGCCCTCCACCCCCCTGGGTAGCGACCGTTTTGCCGGAAGTGTATGCGTACCCTACACATTTTTCCCTCCGGTCACTGACGGGTTGCACCCAGCGGGTCAAATGGGCGGGACAGGGTCAAAGCCATTTCACCACCGTGCGGCGCAGCTTGATCTGGGCTGAGACTCCCAGTGAGGAGAGGGCATAACCGACCGGTGAGCAGCCAAGACCAGGCGCATGCAGGGCAGGAAGGGCGCCATTACATGAGCGAGCGCGCGCAACCACCTTCACGTATAGTAGCTGCGTGTCGTGCCGACGCGGCGACGACCAAATCGGGAGCGTTCAAGCTTACACGCCGCCAGTGGCCCAGAGTCGGCTGACATCGAGCAATCTGCGGCATCGGAAAGCAGAAGCAGAAGGAGCAGTCGGGGCCCGCCTGCCTGCACGCAGCCTGCCGCCCTCCCCTTCCTTGGGGCCAGTCTTTGACTGATCGGGGCTCGCTCGCTCGCTCGCGCTCGCGGGGTCGGACCGGGAACCCGTGCCGGCGCTGGGTGTCGTTATTGGGAGGAGGACACCGGTGCGTGCGCTGGGCGGCCGCCAGCATCCTTCGGGCGGGGGCGGGGACGGGCGTTGGAGCTCCGACCGCGCGCGCTGGGCGGTCGGAACGCCACGATCGCTGGGGGTTGAAGGATCCGCGCGGCGGCAGAAGCCAGCGCAGGAGGTGGCACGGCCCGAGCCTGCCGCGCGCACAGGTGCACCCACGGGCAGCGGTGCCCTCCTGCGGCTTTCCCGCCAGCTCGAGCTCCGAGCGGTGCGCGGCCCGGGCCTCCCGAGGGCCACCTGAGAGGGGCCTCCAGGAGGAGGAGGAGGAGGAGGAGGAGGAGGAGGAGGAGGAGGAGGAGGAGGAGGAGGATAGGAGGAGGAGGAGGAGGAGGAGGAGGAGGAGGAGGAGGGGAGGAGGAGGAGGAGGAGGAGGAGGAGGAGGAGGAGGGAGGAGGAGGAAGGAGGAGGGGAGAGAGGAGGAGGAGGAGGAGGAGGAGGAGGAGGAGGAGGAGGAGGAGGGAGGAGGAGGGGGAGGGGGTAGGAGGAGGAGGAGGAGGAGGAGGAGGAGGAGGAGGAGGAGGAGGGGAGGGGAGGAGGATGAGGAGGAGGAGGCAGGAGGAGGAGGTAGGAGGAGGAGGAGGAGGAGGAGGAGGAGGAGGAGGAGGAGGAGGGGAGGAGGAGGAGGAGGAGGAGGAGGAGGAGGAGGAGGAGGGGAGGAGGAGGAGGATGAGGAGGAGGAGGAGGAGGGAGGAGGAGGAAGGAGGAGGAGAGGGGGAGGAGGAGGAGGAGGAGGAGGGAGGAAGGAGGAGGAGGAGGAGGAGGAGGAGGAGGAGGAGGGAGGAGGAGGAGGGGAGGAGGGGGAGGAAGGGGGAGGAGGAGGAGGAGGAGGGGAGAGGAGGAGGAGGAGCGAAGGAGAGGAGGAGAGGAGGAGGAGGAGGAGGAGGAGGGGAGGAGGAGGGGAGGAGGAGGAGGAGGGAGGAGGAGGAGGAGGAGGAGGAGGAGGGGGGGGCGGAGGAGGAGGAGGAGGAGGAGGAGTGAGGGGAGGAGGGAGGAGGAGAGGAGGGGGGAGGGGAGGAGGAGGGAGGAGGAGGAGGAGGGGTGACGGGAGCGAGCGAATCTGGGATTCTTAAGCCCGAGGTTGGTTTGAGTCACGGGAGCCCCGTAGCCAGACGCCAGCCTCCTCCGCCGACGGCATCGTTGTCCTCTTCGCAGTCGCCGCCGCCGCCGCTGCCGTCGTCGTCGTCGTCGTCGTCGTCGTCGTCGTCGTCGTCGTCGTCGTCGTCGTCGCCGCCGCCGCCGCCGCCACCGTCGTCGTGGTGGTGGTGGTGGTCGTCGTCGTCGTCCGTAGCCACTTCGGCTGCAGGCCGTTCGGCCCGCCGCCCGCTTGGCCGGCAGGCCGCCGCTGCGGGCACCGCTGGCCGACATCGGGCCGCGGAGGCACAAGTCGACGGCGAGTCTGGGGGTACCTCCTCCCTCGCCCATCCCCCCTCTCCTCCTCCTCCTCCTCCTCCTCCTCCTCCTCCTCCTCCTGCTCCTGCTCCTGCTCCTGCTGCTCTCCTCCTCTCCTCCCTCCTCCTCCTCCTCCTCCCCTCGCTCTCCCCCTCCTCCTCCTCCTCCTCCTCTTCTCCTCCTCCTCCTCCTCCCCTTCCTCCTCCTCCTCCTCCTCCTCCTCCTCCTCCTCCTCCTCCTCCTCCTTTTCCTCCTCTCCCCTTGATGACGCTGTGCCTCCTCCTCCTCCTCCTCCTCCTCCTTCCCCTTCTCCTCCTGCCGCTCCTCCTCCTCGAGTGGCTCAACGGGCGCTGGGACATGAAGAACCCACGGCTGGCGCCAGCACTAGCTCGAGCGCGCCGTAGTCTGTACGTGGCCTGTGGGACGGGCAGAGTGACCGTCGCAACGGACGGGGCAGATTGGGCTCGGCACATGTACCGGGAGTGCAATAAGGACTGCGACGCCACTGTAAGAGCCGCATCGGAGCGACAGTGCGAGATTGCTGCAATCAACCTCGTGCCGTGGGAGCTCTTGAAAGGGCATGCGTAGGCAAACGTCGTGGGCAGGTTCGACGGCGGAAGGAAAAGCTGGGGCAGCATGGGCTCTATGGGTGAAGGTCGGCACCAACATGTACCCTTGGATGGTCTACGGTTTCGGCGTGGGCAGCGCCACGAGACCTAGCGCAGAGTTCGCCGCCTGTAGTTCGCTTTGCATTCACGTTGAGCACATGGCGGAAAAGCTTGCCGCCTATGGGATGCCGGATTTGGGCATTGATGAAGCCCAGAGGGCTCCGCGCCGAATCGGGCCGCGGCTCGCCTTGGCTGATACGCTCATTGCTTGCGCTCTATAGTCTCATGCTGTGTCCGCTTGGGCTGCCGGGTTCCGGCACGCAGCCCAGAAAGAGTCAAAGAGTCCTTCTCCTCCTCCTCCTCCTCCTCCTCCTCCTCCTCCTCCGCATTCGCCCTTCCTAGCCAGCTGTGCAAGACGAGGCTGCACAAGTGCAGCCCCCAGGAAAACCTGCTCTCTCCCGGCGACGCGCCGAGGAGGATGTTTGGGCGTTTTGGGGTTCGCGGTGCGAGTGTCTCGGGCGCTTTCGTCGGCTCCCGGCGGTCCTCTGCCCCCGGGAGGCGTTCCAGCGGCTGCGCCTTGCCGAGAGGCGTCCAGGGGTGCCCAGATCATCCCGAACGGCCGCCGGAGAGCCGAGGTATGACCCGAAAGTCTGACGACGAGGAGCTTTCAGGGGGCAGGCCTTCTCAGAAGGCGGCGGGCCTTCTCGGAGCTTCCGAGAAGCCTTCTTGTGGCCTCGGAGACGGCGTGCAGGGCCTCTCGGAAGGCTCGCGGGCTTCCGAGGAGCCCCGCCGCCTTCTGTGAAGGCCTACCCCCTCTCGCTTCCCCCCTTGGGCTCGCCGCCGGACAAGGGGCCGCTGCCGCTCTCCGCGGTGGCTCCCGCCGTCACGAGCGGCGAACGTGTCCATCTTCACCCCCGCCCTCAGATCGCCCGGCTTCGGGCCCCGGGACCATCACCTGTCGATCCCGTTCGGAGCGTGCCGTGGAAAGCTGGGCTCTGGGGCCGCGGTCGTGTTTTCTGTTGCTGTTCTTTGCGGTGCCGTTCTGTGTTGCCTCCTGCCGCGTCGGCCCTCGGGGCACTCCTCCCCTCGCCGTGGAGCTTCAAGCAGCGGGGGAGCGCTTTCTTGTTGCGCGGCCTCCGCGAGAGCCCTCGCTGGGGCCTCGGGGCCGTCAGGAAGCGGCTCGGGGCGAGCGGCCGGTCTCGGGGCAGGGGGTCGAGGCCCCAGGGGATCACGGCGTGAGCAGGATCACGGCGTCGGGGTTCGGGGCCCACGCCTTCGCGAGCGGGGTCCCCGGGCGCGATCGGGCGGATGTGCGGTCGCGTTCGAGACACGGGCCTTGAGTCTCTTCACCACTCCCCCAGGACTCGAGCAGGGGGATCGACTTCAGAATTGATTCACCCCAGAATTGTTCGTTCCGTCGAGCCTGCAGACAATACCTACACTGGTCCGTGGATCAACGGAGAATTGTATAACTTTTTGTACATAGATTCGACGGAACATCAAGTTTGGAGGTAATCAATGATGTAGCCGATCTCCTACTCGAAGTACCCGCTTTTCGCCCCGAGTCGGTTCTTCACAGTCCCGAGGCCAAATTACTACAGGACATGAGAGGCCGAACAGAATGCAAAACCTCCGCCTCGATTTTTTCCGAGACTTCAGGCCATGTCTGGGTGTCCGTGAGGTCGCAGCCCCAGGAGCCCAGCCTGCGAGGCTGTGGATGTGGCCATGCTTCCCGCCCGCGAGATCTCGGCCGCCGATGCCGGGCCGCCTGGGCACCGCCGCGGTCTTCGCCGTGTCGGTGACTGCGATGGCCTCGAAGCCTCTGCTGCTGCACCTGACGCGGGGCGACACTGGCTCGAGGTCCTCATTGGCAACGTTAGGGGGGGATAGGCTCGGTGGGGGATGCGTCGACCCCCGATTTGCCCACTGATCGCCGATGGGTGCCCGATGGCCCAGCCCGCCCAGGACCCTGCGGATTCGCTATCGCGGGCCTGTCGCCGCTCTCTCGACGATGCATCACCGATTCCAGGTCCATGCCTCCCCTCCTGAGCCAGTCCCCCCGGGCGGTGTCCCTCAGGTCGTCGTCGCCGCCGCCGCCGCCCGCCCGCCCGCCCGCCCGCCCGCCCGCCGCCGCCGCCGCCGGCGGCGTCGTCGTCGTCGTCGCCGCCGCCAGCGCTGATGTGCGCGGGCTGTGCGAGGTCCGCGTTGAGCCCTGTGCACTTTCAGCTCGCCGCGGAGGGCTGCAAGGTGGGCTTCAGCCTGCTGGCGCTGGCGGTGCGCCTGGCCGTGGGGCTGCCGGCGCCGCTCTGGCGCGGCCTGGGGCACACGGCACGGTTCATGGCGCCCGCGGCGATATATCTGGAGGAAAGAAAACGGGCACGCAGTCGGGCCGCTGAAGAAGGAACCCTCTTCGTCGGGGAGGGGCTCAGCGTTACTTAATTCATTGTTGTGTACAGTTGGTCTTGGGTTGTCCTCCAGCTTTCTATGGGAAGTCGAAGCTCAACTTATGGAAAAAGGGGCCTCGTTCCTTATTTGGGGTTGCAGATGACAGCGTTTTGACTGAGAGCAAAGGCTTTCAGAGGTCCGCGCGGATGTCGTGGATCGGCGCTGGCCCCAGCGTCGATCCAAGAAATCCGCGCGGGCCTCCGAAGGTCTTGCATTTTTGTTATATATATATATATATATATATATATGTATATCTAGATACCTCTGAATAAGCAGAAAGCGAAGATTGATCATATGTATGTTGTTTTCCTTCCTCTGACGTCTGCTGATGAACGTCTTCACGGTGGAGGCGGCGAGATTGCTGCCCCCGCCCACGTTTCAGCTCCTGGCGAACACGAAGATCATGTTCACTGCGGTGGCCTCGTGGGCCCTGCTCGGCAGGCGCCTGGCGCCCCTGCAGTGGGTTGCGATGGGCCTGCTCACCGCGGGGGTAGCCCTGGGCCAGTGGCGCGGGGACGCCAAGCTGGAGGCACCGCTGATGGCCACCCTGCTCATGCTGGTCAACTCGTGCCTCTCCGCGCTCGGCGGCGTCTGCACCGAGTGGCTGCTGAAGGGCAAGGAGGGCGGGAACCAAAGAGATGCCCATACAGTGAGCGGCTTGACTAAGGAACACTTACTTTTCAAAAGGTGTTCGGTCGTTCCTTAGATTTAACATGCGTTACTTACAGCTCCTCATGCGTTATCTATTATTTATCGTTCCTTATGCGTTATTCCTTGGGATAAAAAAGGGGCTTCGTTCCTCATTTATCGTTCCTTAGGTCAGGCCGATGACTGTACGGCTGATGGACAAATCCTGCACCCTGTTTTCCGATTTTTGCTTTCGCCCCCCCGCGCTCCCAAATTGATATTGACAGGCTGTGGGGCGACTTGTCGATCTGCCGACTGGCCTAAATCCTGCACCCCGCGGGCGCAGCCAATCAGCATTGAATCGGGGGTAGGGGGGCGCGTGGAAATTTTTGCCGTCGCCCTGGTTGCGCGGTCGGTGCAGGATTTTGTCCATCAACCGTACCGCTACTCCAGGGGCCTCTCCTGGGGATGCGCTCTGATCTGAGCTTCTTTCGAGCCGTTGCCGGTCCAGGAGGCGAGGCCTCTCCACGGACCTCTCCTTGGGGCGCCGTCGGACCAGGAGTTCATCGGGCGAGTCCAGCCGCGGCGACGAGTGCTCTCCACAGGCCCCTCTGAGGAGGAGAAGGGGTAGGGGAAGAAGGAGGAGGAGGAGGAGGAGGAGGAGGGGGAGGAGGAGGGCGAGGAGGAGGAGGAGGAGGAGGAGGAAGGAGGAGGAGGGGGAGGAGGAGGAGGAGGAGGAGTAGGAGGAGGAGGAGGAGGAGGAGGAGGAGGAGGAGGAGGAGGAGGAGGAGGAGGAGGGGGAGGAGGAGGAGGAGGAGGAGGAGGAGGAGGAGGAGGAGGAGGAGGAGGAGGAGGAGGAGGGAGGAGGAGGAGGAGAGAGGAGGGGGAGGAGGAGGAGGAGGAGGAGGAGGAGGAGGAGGAGAGGAGGAGGAGGAGGAGAGGAGGAGGAGGAGGAGGAGGCGGAGGAGGAGGAGGGGGTGACCCGGCCGCGGCGACGAGTGCTCTCCACAGGCCCCTCTTGCATTGCGTTCTGGCCTGGATATCGAGGCGAACCCAGCGGTGGCGACGAGGGCTCCCCAGGACTCGCCCCAGAACTCCGACGTCGTGTTTTTTTACCTAACTGGGAAGACTGATAAGTTTCTAGTGGGGTCAAAAGAGAGCATCATGACTCCTCAGGGGGGTCGGGGCGGGACCCGGGGCGGCTGCCGCCGAAGCCCAAATCGCTTGGGACATCCTCGCAAAATCGCTCTTGGCGCTCCCAGAACGCCATTCCCGGGCCACATTTTGAATGCCCGGAGCCAACTGTAGGCCACTTCGTGCTCTTCGACTTCCCAGAACTCCATTCCCGGGCCACATTTTGGATGCCCGGAGCCAACTGTAGGCCACTTCGTGCTCTTCGACTTCCCAGAACTTCATTCCCGGGCCACATTTTGGATGCCCGGAGCCAACTGTAGGCCACTTCGTGTTGTTCGTGTCCCCAGAACACCATTCCCGGGCCACATTTTGAATGCCCAGAGCCAACTGTAGGCCACTTCGTGTTCTTCGTGTTCCCACAACATCATTCCCAGGCTACACTTTGATTGCCCGGAGCCAACTGTGAGGCTGAGGCTGAGGCAGGCTGAGGCTGAGGCTGGCTGAGGCTGAGGCCGAGGCAGGCTGAGGCCGAGGCTGAGGCTGATGCAGGCTGAGGCTGAGAGGCTGAGGCTGAGGCTGAGGCAGGCTGAGGCTGAGGCTGAGGCCGGGGTAAGCTGAGGCTGAGGCTGAGGCAAGCCGAGGCAGGCTGAGGCTGAAGCTGAGGCAGGCTGAGGCTGAGGCTGTGGCTGAGGCTGAGGCAAGCTGCGGCTGAGGCAGGCTGAGGCTGAGGCTGATGCAGGCTGAGGCTGAGGCAGGCTGAGGCTGAGGCTGAGGCAGGCTGAGGCTGAGGCTGAGGCCGAGGCAGGCTGAGGCTGAGGCCGAGGCAAGCCCAAGCAGGCTGAGGCTGAGGCTGAAGCTGAGGCAGGCTGAGGCTGAGGCTGAGGCTGAGGCTGAGGCTGAGGCAGGCTGAGGCTGAGGCTGAGGCTGAGGCAGGCAGGCTGAGGCTGATCCAGGCTGAGGCTCTGAGGCTGACGCTGAGGCTGAGGCAGGCTGAGGCTGAGGCTGCAGGCTGAGGCTGAGGCAAGCCGAGGCAGGCTGAGGCTGAGGCTGAAGCTGAGGCAGGCTGAGGCTGAGGCTGAGGCTGAGGCTGAGGCTGAGGCTGAGGCAAGCTGCGGCTGAGGCTGAGGCTGAGGCTGATGCAGGCTGAGGCTGAGGCAGGCTGAGGCTGAGGCTGAGGCTGAGGCAGGCTGAGGCTGAGGCTGAGGCAAGCCGAGGCAGGCTGAGGCTGAGGCTGAAGCTGAGGCAGGCTGAGGCTGAGGCTGAGGCTGTGGCTGAGACAAGCTGCGGCTGAGGCAGGCTGAGGCTGAGGCTGATTCAGGCTGAGGCTGATGCAGGCTGAGGCTGAGGCTGAGGCTGAGGCAGGCTGAGGCTGAGGCTGAGGCCGAGGCAGGCTGAGGCTGAGGCCGAGGCAAGCCGAGGCAGGCTGAGGCTGCGACTGCGAGAACAGCAGAATTCTACCTGGATTCTCACCTAAATCTTAAGGGGAATGCTTCCAGATATGCTTCTTCACATCGCTGTTAGGTTGCTTTGCCGGGATAATTTCGAAGCGTCGACCCCCACAGGTCCGGACCCCTTCCCCTGGACCGGCTTGTCATCTGGTCTTGTTGACGGTACGGGGGCCCGGCGAGGGCCCCCAGAGGTCGAAGACGGCCAACACCTTCCGGTCGTGGTTTTTGTTCACGACGTGGGCATTTGGGCATCGGTATTTCTCAACTCCCGATTGAATTCCGAATCGGCGTTGGAAGATCCCTGGTTGGAAAGCTGGTCCAATCTGGCGTCATCGCGCTTCATCGGGGCTCATGTAATCCCATTGGATCCAGCTTCATCGCCTCTATTCTGGCTTTCTCCGGGGCTGAGTCTGGGGAATCCGGCTCAGTGGCCTCCTCATCCGGCTCAACAGCCCTTAATCGTTCTGACGAGGACCTCCCAGGAGTTGCCTCTGACATCGATCCGACTCGAAAAAACAGTTCCGATTCGACTCGATTCCGGATTCCTGTTTTCGATTTCCGAGCCGATGCGGCGATCGCCGACTTGGGTCCCGATTCCAGAAGACAGTCAAGCCCTGCGCTCGAACGGCGCATTGGCAAATAAAAAGTTAGCACAGCGCACTGTCGCCGGACAGCTGATGCGATGCGAAATTCAGTGAAAAACGCATCGGTTCCACCTGTGAGGACAAACGGGGAGGAGGAGGAGGAGGAGGAGGAGGAGGAGGAGGAGGAGGAAGAGGAGGAGGAGGGGCGAGGGGAGGAGGGAGACCGCCGAAAACAATCAGAGCACGCCTGCTGGCAAAAGCGAATAGACGCTGGAAGCCCATTGCTGTTTGGGTCTCCCTCTCTTCCTTTTGTGCGCCCATCGCCTAGGCAGCCTTGTGCCAGGCTCACACGGAAGGAACTTGAGGAGATTATTTTCCGGGAGTGCCGAAATCTTCCTATACAAATTCATTTGCCGATCACGGAGCGTCTCGCTCAGCGGCGGCTCCTGCGCACGTTCTAGGACTTCATTGCTAGAAATTCTGGACACGTACGCAGACGGAATTCTGAAAATACTTCGCAGACATTGCACGTGGAAGCTGTCTAAACGGGCTCTGTCAGCTTGCAATGACCAAACAGTGTCTAAAGTATACAGCAGCTTGGGCAAGGCAATTGCTTTATACAGTTGGATTTTCCGGTCGCGGCATATATTAGCGTGCGACCAACAGTTTGACAGAGCTTTAAATCGAGACTTGGCTTCACTAATTCTCCGAGTGATTTCAGGTTTTGCTGAGCATTTTACATTCAATAATCCTCCTAAATGCAGCGCTTGCTCCACTATTTTCAGCGGCGCGCCGACGGGAGAAAGCAACGTACCAGTGTTATGTACCCGCATGCATACAGTTTTATCCCAAGTCAGATCCAAGCCATATCTCGCGCCTTCGTCAATGACTGTGCTGAGTAGTGTTTGAAGCTTTCCAGAATCGCTGCTGAGTAACATTGTGTCATCGGCGTATAACAAGTCACTGCATGCCAAATAGTTGGGCTCCCGGACAGCATCGTGTAGGCCAATGATGAATAAATATGGCGATAGCGGGCACCCTTGTGCGATTCCTGCAGCTTGAAGACGTTTGCTGGAATTTACGACGGGGTCCCGCAACACAAA